CATGCTTTCTTTAATATCAAAGGAGGATTGTGTGGTCAGTTCTAGACTGGAGGGGCTCGGGAATTGGGGAACAATGGATAGTGATGGGATGCAATTGCCACTGGTTTTCATGTCATGATCTACCGGTCAAAGAGAGCGGTTGTATACTTAAAACATCGACGGGTCCAACGGGAAGAGAAGTAGGAAGAAAGGAGAAAATAATCCTACGCACCAACACCTATCATACTTGCTAGTTCGATTAAATTCCCCTACCACCGTCACAGTCACATGCCATCACTCGAAGGGAACTGGCTGGCAGTGTTGAAACATGGCTTCTGACACTACCAGTAACGGATGTTGTGGCATCGTTCAGACTATTACTTTTCTCCTTGCATCAATTCGTACCCCAGGCACACATAGGCCTCCGGTACTATTGAAGATATCTCCTTACATTTCTTGTTACTGTTCGCTCAACCTTATTGTCTCGCTCACAATAGTAGATAGTAAGAGCTGCTCGCTCTTCCTTTCTAGACAATTAAGCATTCATCGTTCTCTATCACACAATCTTCTTTGCCGTGCAAAACACTCCTCACAGTACTTTCACAATAGGCAGCACTAGAAGCTAAGTTACCATGTATCACCATTCAGCTTTCTTCTTCTTCAGACACCGAGCCACCTTCAGCGGAGCTTCTATATCGGAAAAGTGGATAAGAGCGATACAAAATGATATTATTTCTCCTCAAATCGCCCGAGAATTAAATAAAAGATTTTACCCTAGAATTACAACGGCTTAAATTCAGATCCTGGCTATCTTGAATCTGGGGAACCGACATCAAAGCCGTTCTAGCTGGCACATCCCGACAATTCTCTTGTTGCGACCGCACCTACGCGAGGAAACCGAGCTTGGGAAAATACCTGGGTAATTACTTCTCACAAATCCCGAGTCGCCCTTACCGACGGTATAGGAGCTGATAGACGTACCATGTTTAAGGAGGGGTGGGCAGATTTCTTTGTACAGAGGGATTGAACGGGTTCCTAGCTATTCAGTCTTATTTTGTTTAATTGGTGTCTTTCCAATCGCTGGTTAATCCATCGTTGCAGATCCGGCTGTGGAAACCTCTGAAGCTCTTGGAGTTGCTGGCTGATGGCGGCTGTGGTTGATTGTGGAGCCCCCAGGAATGTTGCGGGTGGTTTCATTTGTTCTGGAGTCGTCATGATTTACCCGAGAAGTTTCTCTATACATGTATTCCCTTATTATCACTCGCGCGTGGAGTAATGGGGACATGCATGGATGAGATGAGACACGTGTGATAATCCATGGAGGGACCAGGCTTCTCTCAGGATGTTTTACTTATGCTTCTGTCTTTGGGGTTAATTTAGAGAAGACGCCGAAAGAGGATAGGAAGTTTGTGACCAAGCCCCATTCTGGTCCGCTCCGTATACCGCTGCGCGATTTATCCTCCCCAAGATCTTCCAAGAGAAATTTCTACCGGAGGATAGCTGGTGGGTATCCCCCAGGTTTGAACAAGTCACATTCCCTGAAATCCCACATACCACAAAACCAGAGAGGATAACCCAATCCAAGTCATTTTGGCCTAGAGATGTCTGAGCGATGTCCGCTTGTCGAGGCAGTATGGGTATTCATGCCTCAATAACCGAGGCGATACTAGGGGGCATGCTGGATATGGAGGTATATTTTTATATAACTAAGAATTATTATAAGTGTCTAACAGCAAAAGCTAAAGAATTGGTGCAATATATAGAATATGAGCCACATTTTCCAACAGTTCTCGGAAGTGGTTAAGACCATCATCGGCTTTATATGAGTTATAGACTAACTTAGCCGGGCTCAGTTTCTTATTCCGTGAAGACATGATGGCCCGGCAGTCCAACCATTTCAAAACCTGAATTTGGTTTCACAATCTATATTGCCCGGGCAGCACGAAGTTCGGACTAAGAGACAGGCCGGCTGTATTGAAATAGATCCAGGAGATCATATTGATGTGGGGGATAACGGAGGACCTATTGCACAGTGGGGAATAGAAGGCTAAGTGGGCATGTGTGGCACTATAGCACTGTGCAAGTAAGACTGAGAGGTAAGAGGTAAGGTAAAACAACTTCGTTCCGCACTCCTCCAAACTAATGGTAAAGACATCTGTATAAGTAAAACATGAACAATGCACTCTAATCCTTCCATCGATCACCACACCAATCTCTATCTCTCCATGCGTGCTGCCCTTTCCTCCATACACTCCCGTAATAACAATGGAAACACATACTCCATGAATCTTCTCTGTCAATCTCTGAACCTCCACACTGATCTTTTTTTTTTTCAATCCACTGAACTTCCTCCAAACTCCCAAACCTTCCATGATCCATCCCAATCAATCCACATCCTTCCAGAACTTTCAACAGATCATAAGAGTTTTGGGTGGCGATCTACAGAAAGTAATAACCCAAGGAGAAGTAAGTAAGTCCGCTACTAGTTGTACAGTTTAGTTTATTGACCTAAAGTGTTCATAGGGGCATATAGCATTGGCCCGCAACCAGGTATGACAGGAAGGGAGATGGCCTATATCGTGCAAGTTCCTGATTCCTCACCCTAATCCTCATGTGGGCTAGAAACCAACTGGAGACCGACGTAGCCTTCCTGAAGCCTGGCGCAGCCATTGGCCCCCCTTGAAGCTCCCCTGCTGGTACCAACCTCTATATGCCTAGGTGGCTACTCTAGCAGAGCGCTCCAACACTACAGTCACCACACCCTACCCACGCGCCCTCCCCTACGAAAAAGCCTTTCTAGCGCTCGACGTTGAGCATGAGTGGTTCGCAATTACAGGTGAGGATTACAAGCGCCCATAGCCAAAAAGTCCGCTCCCAGAAAATTGTCACTTGTCAAAGTGCCAATCTTCTCGGCGTACGTGCGGATGAAGGAATCGAATTGGGCATCGTAGGTGTCAATACCGATATCAAAGTGGTGGCGTAGCTAATAGGTTGGCACTTCTCTAATGTAACATCGGTTTAGTTGTTGATAGTTGCAACGGCCAAGCTATGGGTAGTTCCTCCCTGTTTTAGGGAATAGAGGTAAATTAGATGGCAGCCGAAGATCAACCAATTGGATTTTCTATCTAACCAACGGCAATAGGAACAAAATACTGCTCATTCTTCTAACATCGAATATTACTCGGAGTATTCATCTCCATGCCGGGACCCTAATCAGTAATTCCCCAATATCCCGGCCATTGGGCCCTCCTATATGGCAGGAAATAGCTTTCCCGGAGACGGGAGGCTTGCGCCGGAGGTTACTCTATTCCCGAGCGGACAAATATTATACTCGGAGCGGAATTGGTGGTATCGGTCGCCTCTCGGATGCGAGTTGCCCGACCCTAGGGCCCCCAATCCCATCATCAAGAGAGGAGGTTCAATGTATCAATATGTTAATATAGGTACCCTATATCCTCTCGGTCCCAGCCCAGACACCCACGCCACGAGGTCACGACCCGTCGCGTTTGGGGTTCGGCTCTCAGCCCCAAGAATGTTTGTTGCTTTCATTGCAGAAATTGAATCCCAATGGACATTCAGGCATGTTAGCATTAAAGACTGAGCACCGCATCAATTGGCCGAAGGGCTAACTGTGAAAGGGGCCGCCCGGTGGCCAATGGGTAAGACCTCTAGGCCACGGAACTTTGTGTTCGGGAAGGGCCCTAGTTGTATTAAAGATAATGGCAGGTATCGAAAAGGAAGGAACAGCTCTCACCAATTCAATCCCACGACACCTTTGGAGTTAAGATCTATATCTAGGAGGAGGCAAGTCAAGGCAATATATTCCCTTGAACCCAAGGAGGGTAGGGTATGAGCTATTCCTTTGAGGGAGTAAAAAATAGCAAAAATTGGTTTACCAAACAAGCGGGATAGGGCGATGTGATGTCAAGGGGTTAGAAATGTTGGCGAGGTTGTTCCTATGGAGTGAAGCCTTTCGTCCTGCGATTTCTTGGTCTTGTCATTGGAGCTAACCTCAAAGCGATTAACTACGGTATCGCTGGTCACAATACTACCAGATAATAATATCAAAATCCCTCCGTGTGTAAAGGAATAATCGTAACCAGAATGACTATGATCAAAAGAAGCTAGTTTGGCTATGAGCAATGAACTAGCTTGGTAGGATTCACCAGGGCCACGGTTCATAGATGCACACCGAATAGCATCAAGTGCAGCTACATCAGTAAGTAGATACTGGAAGTGCGTCGCAATACAGTAAGTTACTGATCATTTATGATAATCTCGTTCAAAGCCTTGCGTCCTCCAGTCAGGTCGTGAGTCACCAGCTATCACTCGGGTCCGAGGCCTGCGAGGGCGTCATATATCGAGAGCAAAGAGTAGGAGATCGAAGACAAGGTGGAAAGACACATGGAACAGTACAGAAGATAGAGAGCGTTGCCACTTCACTTCTTGTTTAGTCCCAGCGCCTAAGACTTTCCTTCTTACACCAAGAAGCGGCGTCCGCACACATCGATGTGACTTATTTATTTCTTATCTCCTCGAAACCCAATGTACCAAGAAATTCAGGGAGCCAAATTTATGATACCCGCCTTCCGCGCTACACTAGAGCGGCCCTCCCAACACAAGCCAAAAGGGTAAGTTGGCATTTAGCGTCGCTACAGAAATCTTAACCCAGAAATCTGTTTTAGCATGATCCCTAGGGGGGGTTCGTCTAGATCCTTCAGGTTCTGGTTGAGTTGCGGAAGCCGGGAAAAAAATAACAATTCTGAAACGAGTAAGCTGGCTGATTCTGGTTTAAGGGCGGTATATTAGGTTAAGTTAGAAATTAAACGGAAATGAAGAGAGAATGGCGTTCAAAACTTCAGCCCCGGTCGAGGTAAGTTATCAAAGGCATCACCGAAATCCTAGGCTAACTCTATGTATCGTACTATTTGGTACCATGCACCATGAGTCCGTCATTGTCTACTATTTCACACACGATTTGGAAGCGCCCAAATTCCGGCGCGCCAAACCCTCCCCAAGTTAATTGGGAATAATAATCATTTACTGATCCGGTGACATAGCTAAAGTACATTCAGGTTTATAGATAACATGGTGGTTTCATCAACATACTCGTAGGATTAATTCCCGATCCCGCGGTAGATAAAGAGAAGGGAGAGGAAGGTGAAAGGAAAAAGGAAAAAGGAAAAGACATCCCACTCCGTTACCAAACCGGGTATCATAAAAACCAGAAAGCCGTACCAACGCCAAAAAAGACAAATATATAAGACCAAGAGAAAAAAAGATGCGGCAACCGCAAATCCGGCTCAAGTCCTAAAACAGAAACCAAAATTTCTCATCATCCTCCCCGCTTCAATGAACCCCCCAACGGCAAATGCAAAACCCGCAATGACGATAACTACTTTGATAGAATCCTCCAGCAAATCCCACCACCGCTTCTTCCCACCACCGGTAGACTCAATTAAGTCCACTACGCCAATAACCTGGCCAACAACCAACCAGCCCATCATGAACGTGCGCTGTCTCGTCGTGCTGTCCGCAGCTTTGAAATGACTGAGACTGCCAAGGACAATATAAGGAATAACGAGGGAGATGAAAATAATAATGAAGACAGAGAAGTTATAAACCTTCTGACTAAACTTGACAACCTTCTCCTGCAGTCGGTACCGTCCCTCGGCTGGGACCACGATTATAGCAGCATTCTCGTTGATTCTAGCTGGCGTCGAGAAATGCTCGTTGTTGATTTCTTCCTCCTCGAACGTAACCCGCCATCTCCTTCCCATTTCCTCTCCATCCTCATCAACCTCGTACGCACGCCAACCGCGCTCGGCACTCCACCGAAATTTCAAGTCCACAACCACCTTACCGTCAACCTGCTTCAGCGCCGCAACTGCACCAACGAACTCCTCGCCGGTACGCTCATACGCTTCAACCATAACATCCGACTCGACCATGAATAGTGTATCGTAATCAGCCTCTATCGAATTCGCGATTGCGTTGAGAAAGGACATGATCGTGTAGGGGATAACGCTAAAGCCAAAGGCAGCGTAGCCGTACAGATGGACTTGATCGGAAGATGAGGAGTAGAGCGTGAATACTGAGATAATTATTTGCAGGACACCAGTGAAGGACTTTGCTGTGCCGTAGGAGGAGGCGATTACTATGTCTTCGCGGTTTGTGTGTGGGTTTATTGGGGAAAGGGAGGTGCCAGCTGGCAGGAAGGAGAAGCAGTAGCCTTCTGGGAGTCTGTACTGGCCTTGTATCTTCCAGTTTTCGGGCTCATACATCTGTTTCATTGTCGGGAGTTGAATTTGGATTATAGCTTCACGGGTATCGATGTTATAGATCCTGCTGCAATATGTTAGTCTCCTAGTTTAATAGTCCTGTAATATGGTAACATACGGATCCTTCTTCCTCCCTCTCCTCCTCTTCCTTCCCTTTCTACTCGGTGGCGGCTTAATAACACACCCATAAACAGTATCGCCGTTCCTCGGCCTCCAATTCTCCAACCTCTGCACAACGCAGAGCGCCCCAGCATGTAACGCCCCGCCCAGCTCGTCCCGACCCAAAAAACGCGCCCCCCGGGCAATCGTCTCGGCGGCCTGCGAGATACCGTAAAATGGCACAAATAAACTTATTGCTGTGCGCACGTGGTCCCTCGATCCCTTATACCCGGACGTCTTCTTGAACGTTGCGATTCTCGCGATGTAGTTTGTCAGGAAGAATGAGAGTATCTGCGTCCATGGCGCAGGTCTGAGACATACTCGCTCGCGGGTTACTGTCACTTCCTTCCGGGTTGCGCGTGCGATGAGCGAAGGGAGTGGCAAGGCCTGAATCGCTGGCAGGAGGAGGAATATCCATGAGAGGATGCTGAGTACTGTAGAAATTGTTCTTATGTTGAGGATCCGCGGCATTTCCAAAGGAGAAATAAGGGGAAAACGCTTTTGTGAGCGAAATCCGTCAAGACACGAGGGGTGGAGAAAAGGAAGAAGAGAGAGAGAGAGAGGCTAATTCGGAGAGAAAAGGCGGGATGGCTACGATTCGCAGACAAAAAGACCTCTCTTTTGGTCGCTTACTATCTTACTTCCCCGCCCCGCCGCAGCAGGGTCATGTGTTTACACAGGAAGTTAAAGGGCTACGCTTGTACCCTTGCCGACGGGGCCTACCGGTATCTGTCTGGTTGCCGGGCAACCAGTTGGCACTCACCACTACCCCGATACGGCGCTGAAGGTGTGGAGTTGCCTTTGACTGATTTACCCTACAGTACTGTACAGCCGCACTGAGACGCGTATGGGGAAGGTTACAGCTGACTTGTCCCCACCCCAGCCCATCAGAAGCCCACCACCCTGTATGTGGTTATTCTCCCTTAATTACATTGATCAATTAGCATTACCGGTAAGCGAGGAATCTCGGGAAAACCCACATAATACCAGCGAATCCCGGACCCTCCCTAGAAAATACCATCAATGTTTTTTTATGCCAACCAAAAGAATTGTTTCACCCACGACCAAGCAAATAAACAACACCTAAACTTCTACCGGTAAGCAAGGAGACGCAACCACTCAAAGTCAGAAGAATTCCCAATATTTCTTCTAAATTACTATTTATTTATTTTTCGAAATTTTAGAGACATATTAGGTACAGAGAAATGTGGTCTACATAAAAGAGCTCCTGTTGTGCCAAACCAGGGAATAAGAATCTTTCCCAACGCATCTTGGCGGGCTTCCTACCCCGGAATTTTCCTAAAAAGGAAATTTTACAGACAAATTCTATGCGACACATTCTGTCTATATAGTAGCTATTTGTTAAAAAAAAAAATAGAAAATAGAAAATTTAATGGTGTTTCTAGTCTACTACTCGTACTACACATCTGCTACTGTATCGGGCTGGGTAGAAAGACTTTTACCCTTGATGGTACTCGAGTATTCTATAGGAAAAACCCGGAACTGGCCGGTATTGAAAAGGTTGTCCTCGTCTTGTTCCATCCGGGACGGGCTGTACGGCAGTCGGACTGCACCCGGGCCACATAGCATAATCTGCCATCATGTTTCACTTCATCATTATTTCCATCCTCTCGTGGCTGGGTAGTGGCTGAGCAGACGAGCATTTTAGTATTGTATTAGGGTGTGCCCCACCGGCGCATTGGAGGTTGTATACAGAGATTGTACGTACCCTCAAAAAATCAAAGGAATCAACAAAAAAAAAGGGAGGAAATTCACTTGGTGCATTGACTAATTCTACCTGTAGTCGATTGCAGTCAACTGCAGTCAACTGCCGTCCACCCCGTCCAGGATGACCTTGGCCTCGTTCTAGGCAGTGTGAGGAGCAGCGTAGTCGACCGGTAGTCGACGGCCGTCCGCCTGGATGACCGGAAGCCTCCTGCAAGTGTCCGAGTATCATACTACCGGTAGTGCTGTGCTAGTGCTAAGGCTGTTCTCTGAAAAGGGCACGGGTAACAGGCGAAAAGTACAGTACTCGTACTCGTACAGTACCCAAAACATTGCGCTCCGGATTCGGTATGGACTCTCAGACTCTCTCACATGATTGGCCGAATTACCGGTATTTATTGGTTACGCTCTGCTGCCTATAAACTTAAGGCGTTCCCGGCAATGGAATGCAGAAAGGTGGGGTAAATTTAAATGAACGCCTACCGATACAGTGCAGGTATCATACCGGTACTTGTTCTAAGCTTTGCCTTGGGTAGGAGGAGGGTTGGGGGGGGGTGGTCATGATTAATCGCTCATGGATTGTTGACAAAAGTGCCCCATATTCTAGAGAAGTAAACAATGGCAATTGGGGAAACGGTTATTATTGGGCCAGGCGACGAAGAGAAGGAGGGGTTTGGATCAAAAAATGATTGAAGGGGTTGGAACGGGCTTTTGCGGGTTTGGGGGGGCAATTCCCCGGACATTCCAATTTGTTGCTAGGCGGTTATTCGAAATCAATTCGGTAACCACTACCAGGAGTGCTAAGGCCATGTTTGTTAGCGGTAAACCGAACCCGGCTAGATAAAAATCAGAATCTCGGTCTTTTAACCGCCTAAATGACTCAGCATATTGGTGGTCCAAAAGTCCTCAGCAAACCACAAAGCCCCAATACCTCTAGGACTGGTTCAACGTTCCCCGGCTACGAATTTGACCGTTTCAGATCCAAGGGATAAGATGAGTCGATTCTAAAAAAGGACAGGAAACATCCATATTTGGGGGTATAAGTGTTGAAGTGGTAAGAAGCAAAGAAACGCGTAAAATAATATGAGCCTTATACTAGTTAAAACCCGACTTTCGTTTGTTTGAATTAAAAGTGGAAAAAAAATCCTTTGTGACACCGGCCATGTGCCTAATTTTTTTTTAATCTTTTTTGTCTCTAAAAGATGCTACAGAGGTCATTCAGGCTTCAAAAATATTTTCCGAGCCTACTGTATATACAATTTGCACGCCTAGCAAGGTGGCAAGGCGGAAATAAATTATTTGTAGTTGAGTCCCGAAAGTTAGGCCTTACCTGGTGCGGGCTCATATTGAAAGTAAAAAACGGTAATGGAAGAGTCGGATAAACTACCTGTTGTATACATGGCGAAGTACCGAGGTACTCGTACAGTACTCGTACAGCTCCTAAGTTTTGTACAGTATGTTCTACAAGTACAAGCAAGGGGTGCTGGGCTAGCGAGGGTATTGGCGGCGAATTGGGAAATTTCCAGTGAAGATTTCCTGATCTGTGCTCGAGCTTTCCCAATTCGCGTTAGGTACCCCCCCGCCAGCTGATCACCTTTGGTTGTGGAACATACAAAAATTAAGAGCTGTAATTTACCTCCATAGTAGACACTTCTCAATGGTTCCACCGATAGACCAAACGCAGTAAAATGTAGTGTTAGCCTTTCCCTCTGACCGTTTATATATAGTATCCCCAGAGTTCTCCGGGGTGGAAGGCGCGCTGGGATCAAATCAGCCGGTAAAATAGGCAGGATTATCGCTTGCGCTGGAATCCTCCAGTGATTTTTTCCCACTTTCTCTACTTCTGGATAATAGATACTCCCTACGATTTTTTATTTGCTAAGACATCGGAGAACCCCCTTGGATTTGAATTTTCTAGTGCCCTGGTTCAATCCCCCCACACTTTTATCCCATGGGTTCCATCAGTGAACGCCTTTTTTGCAACATTGATTGGACCTGTGCTGTTGTCGGATAGAATTGGGATATGTGTACAAGGGTCAGGGATAAAAGAAGCGGTATGGAGCAGGGGTGTTGATGTCGACTCGGTCAATCTGCTCGTCTGGAATCCCAAACCCCCCATTGTTCAATAAGCTGTAAGGTTCTAGAAAAGGTTATTTATTTATCTTCCTTGATAGATCTATTGAATTGGGGTCCTGGCGCCCCGTATATCACCTATCCCACCAAAGTTAACAGAGGCGGAAATAGAGATCCTCGGGGATGGCGATTCCCAAGTTGCCGCTACCGTACTATGGGATTCCGGTGCTCGAGTACCGGTATGCATGTGACTATTTCATCCCTGATCCTTGTACCTTGTATCAAAAGCTGTCCAATGACCTTTCCTGGATGATTGGAAACTTCATGTTTTATTCGCCTGCGTCCTCGAGAGAGTATTGGTGCGAGTGAGTGCCCAATGTTTGAGGTGAAGTGCAGGTATTGGACGTTTGTGGTGGTACTTGCACTTGTGGCGCCTGTGAATTGATGCAGTTTTGATGGAGCTCGTGTGAGGGGGGACTGCTACTGGTGGAGCAAGTGCCCGTGCGCCCATTGGGCGCGCTTGTGCCGTGTGTGCAGTTACTGCATAAAATATTGCGATGGTCTTATACAAGTACGGTACTAGTTTTACCGGTTCCTGGTAATTGAACGAGGTTTGTGAACACGGCTGCTATTGCATAGTCAAAATTCAGCTTTTTTTTCTTCTCCTATACTTTAGTGTCATGTAATAGTGGTCGTGTTCACAAACGTTGTTCGATTACGAGTAATATTACAAAGCATGTTGTGCACTGTGAACAAGGTGATCTGATGTAACCTAGCTGCCAGCAAGAACTTCAGCGATGCAATTTATCCCACCAATGACACAAGTACCGTACTTCCAGTTGACAAAACAATGTTGGGGCGTTACTGGTTCTCATATGCCATGAGAGGCCTATTTCCACTAGCATGACTAGCATGCCCAATAAATGCCAAACCCAGAAACTCACCGTGATAAGCACTCCTGAGAATGCAAGACTTGAATCGGCCTCTCTGGTATATACGTACATGAATTTGTTAAAAAATTACCCCATATACACAAATTGAGGAAGGAGCAGGTATCGGGGGAGGGAGAAGGAAAAAGTGAAAGGAAAAAAAAAAAAAGACACGGATCCTATTTCAATAAACAACTTGGGGAAGCGGGGGGTAGAGGGGTGTGAAAACATAATAGAAATGTTAATCGCCAAAACGAGCAATGTGATCACTTGTATACTTTAGCACCCGCAGCTTTCAACACCTGCCACACCTGTGGATCCCGGGCCTTTTGCAGAGCCGAATTCCCCTGATGATCGCAGATATTCACATCCGCGCCTCTGCCAATCAAGGACTCGATTAATCGAATGACCCCCGTTTCCGAAGCATTGATCAATGCCGTGCGTCCGTAGTCATCCTGCAGATCGACCTGTATGTTTTTCTGTCGCAACAGGAGGTCAACGATCTCCCAATTCGGGATCGGGTCCATGAAGCAAGCCCGGTGCAGTGGTGTGATAAGATGGCGGTTTTGCACATTCACGTCGAGTCCAAGCTCGGGCCTCCCAAGGAAGTAATCTAGAACCCCAAGCTGGGTGCTCTGCACTGCCCAATGGAGGACGGTATCGCCGAGGTTGTTGCGACAATGCACGTTGGCCCCATATTTCAGGAGGAGTTCGATTACAGGGATTTGGCCATATTCGACGGCCAGGTCGAGTGGAATGATTGGAGCGCTATCAGGATTTGCGCCGCTCTGGAGGAGTAATTCTATTGCCTCCAGCTTGCCTGCTTCGATTGCGTGGTTGAGTGCGGGGGAATTGTGCGGGCCATGCCAGTCGACTGGGATGCCGTGGTCCAACATGAGTTTCATGGACTCAAGGTCCCCGAATTTTGCCGCCAAATGGAGGGCTGTATCACCATACTGATCTCTATGGCTGAGCAGATCGAAGCCATGCTCCAACAGGATCTTGACAACGCAGGCATGCTTTTCCAGGTCATCGTCCCCATGCACAAAGATAGTATGCAGGACTGTTTCGTCTTTCAAGTTTAGTTGCTTTTTGTTGCACCCAGAATCGAGCAGCAGCTTGAAAACTGGTGCGTTGCTTCTTTCTGCCGCCCATCTGATAGCGGTATCCCCGTCGCAATCCTCTATCTCCAGGTCTGCCCCGCACGAGACCAACAGTTCGACCACCTCAGTCCCACCCTCGCTGCAAACCCAATGCAATGGCGTTGCATTGCGATTATCAACTGCGTTGATATTCTCCCCCCTATCCAAGAGGAATTTCACCAGCTCGACATTTCCACCTTTGGCTGCCCAATGCAAAACTGTCGAGGTATGCGGAAGCCGGCACCGGTCACAGTAATGCTGAAGATCCGTTGTGTCGCAACTCATGTTAATCAATCTCTTGACAACATTGGTATATCCCTTCTGTGCTGCCCAACATATCGGTGGAAGTCTGAAGTTTCTGTGCTTGCAGGCGATACGACAGAGTACGGGTATTAGGATATTTGCGAGACGGCGGCAAGTCTGGGAGAAAGCGTTAATGTCCGTGGCTCCGAGATTGTCTGATATGACGAGGAGCACCTCGGTGGGTATCGTGCGAAGAAGAAGACTTTTTTCCATTGCGATGGAAGGGCGCGTGCCACTGCCGAGGCTGTTTGCAGGTGCACAGTGTAGCGGTCCTCACCGGGGGGAGTCGTGCCAGTTTATATGGAGGGGCGATAAGGCAAGCTCGCACCCGCCTACCGTATTTACCCTGAGAATGGCCATAGTCTGTTCACCGCATGTCCCCACAGAATATCAGCTGCAACGGTCGAGTCAGATTTGGCGCTGCTCTGGGCTCGGTCCAAGATTGGGGGGCAAGAGATAATAGTGGAGTGCGAACCTCTCCTATTGTCGGAATCTTTTATCTATTATTAGCGAGCAAAACACACTCTCGCAATTGGCCTTACGAGGGCCCTAATAGGAAATTTTTCGCTTCAGCAACCGCTTCAAAATTCCCCTATCCTAGGCGGACTATCTTGTCGTACCGGTAGGATAGTAAAGGTTTCATATAGGGCTCCAGATTTTAGATTTCCCCTACGGTACGAGTGCTGTATCCATTGCCATTGGGGGGGTTTTTTCTTCGGTTTTTTTTTTCGCTCACTGGCCGTCAATCCTTTCGGACTACCCACTACCGATAATCCTTGAATGAACAAAGAGAAAATGTTATCCACAAGTGATCATGCATGGACCCATACCGTGGGGGCCGATTACTCGTAGGAAAGGCTAACACCCTGCAAGAAATCAGGGAGTCGAAAGGCAACCATTATCTAGCCCGGCTAACAGATTGCTTCTCATCGAGTGGATGGCTGTAGAGCTCATATTGTTTATCCGAGCTTTGGTTCTTTCCACCGCCTGATGCTGGCGACCTGGTTTCATTAGCTCAATCCTTGTTTCTTGGATCCTCGGAAATGTGGATAAGTACTTCGGTTCGTGCGCTGTGCAAAACACAGTTCCAGCAAACCAAGTATCATACCTGTGCGGTACAGTACGAGCACTGTGCTGCACACTCTACTCGATGAGCTCTTTTTTTTTTTGGCTCAGCGCTGTTTGTCTCCTGCCGTAAGGTACCGCTACATTACCTTGCGCCGAATGAGAGAGCGCGAATCACTTGTTACAGGTAACTTTAACTCTTATGCCTGCCAACGAGGCTTGCTCGCACATCGCTAAAACACCATCGGTCGCACATAGTGGAACCGTCACTGGCGTGGGGAAGTATGTGTTCTGCCGATTCGTGGAGTTGTCTGCGAGTAGCCTTTTTTTATTTTTATTTTTTATGTTTTAGCTTCCGGCATTGGTTCACGTAATTGCTTTTACGGTCTGTTAGTGTCCATGGTAGCGGTATCGACAAACTAGGGTTGGCCTAGCCGGGCTATCAAACAGCCCTGCTCAAGTGAATTGTTCTGAGGGGAGCTCGCAGGAATAGGCCAACAAACTTTTTGTGATTCAACCATGCTGTGCGAAGCGACTCTGGGTAGTGAGTCATGGAACTTCTGATACAGTAGCAGTCAATGCTCTATTCTATTTAGAGACGACAGGTATACAGTACAAGTAATTCAATCATGCTCCGTGAGCTAGAGATGAATACCGGTAGAGGGGAGAGGAGATTGTAGGGATCTGGTGGCCGGGTAGGAGGGTTCCCTACATTGTTATCTCTGGCGCTATGGATTTAATAAGTGTTTGAGTGCTTCCCAGCGTCTCACTGCTGTTTATTTTGTCACTTGCCATGCTTCCTACAACCCTTTCCTATGATGGCTTAGCTCTTCCCACGTGCTGGTATCATGTCTCGCGAAGGTGTGGTTAGACCTTGCTCTGCCTTGTAATCGGTATGCGGTTTCCGGGGCATTTTTTGAGGTTCGGGGAAATCCCGATGTAAGGGATCCTGATCATGCTAGAAAAACCAAGACTCCTTCCAGAGGCGCCCTATTCAGCTGCTAAGGCGGCAGTGGTAATATCCGGAGTGCTCCATCTTGTGATAGACAGAGATGGGAAAGTGGAAATCGGCAAGCGAGTGGGGTGGTGAAAAGCCTACCAATCCTCTATCTACCGGTATTTGGGGAGCTTTGTTAGGCAAGTACGGGAGGCGTTACTTGTGCTAGCTCGCGTGGTGATGACTAGGCAGAACAGATAACCGATGTGCCTATCAAGGAGAGCGAAAAAGCAATGCCTTGTTATCGAACTGCACAACTGCCACTTCCTGGGAGAGTCCGACCACTGAGCCTGTTTCCGGGTTTCGGAGGCTAACCTCAAGTGCGGGTACTGTGTTGTACGAGTACAGCACATGCGTGGAAGGGGGCTTATTTCTTGCGTGCGTTGTACTCGTACTGTACAGTACTCGTAATGCCGAAACGTTTCTTGAAGGGGCTGTTACTGCGTGCCGCAAAAGTTTTGCTTTGTTGCTTGGATGTGGGTGGTATGCAGTAGCAGTTCTTTTTTAAAAAAAACCCCCTTTGACGCCATGGACACCGTACAAGATAGTTCTAGACGAAGCTCGCTTCCCCCCCACATACTGGTACCCGAATAGGTTCGGGATCTCCAGACTTCCGTCTGCACGATGTGAATGGTGGGGGAATGCCGATACCGGTAAAACTAAAATGGAAGCGAGATACCGACTGTAAGAACATCAGACCTGCCAAGCGACTGTGGGGTTAAAGTACCGGTGGGGTTGAAAGTTACCGGGGGCTGGTGCCTTTGCGTTATCTGTGCTTTGAACCGGAGGTGGGGGCGGGGGCTAATTTGGAAAGGAAAAAAGTCCCTAGAAAAAAGGCTTACAGGGTGTCTCGTGCTTGGGGCATAGCTTCTCTCTACAGCAGAGGGTTAGGTAAACCTTCGGGGGCTGAAGTACTCGTGGCGCACTTGTGAAGAGCGATTTGAGACATGAATTTAGTAAACGGAGGCGTTTTAAGACATCCAACCGTGGATATAGAGCGAATTCATACAAGTACAAGACGGCGAGTAGGGCGAAGGTGGTGGTCTAGAGTTGTACCGGTATTTGGTTGACTATTTCTTAGGGAGGTGATGGTAGTGGTGGACCTGCACAGCTGCGTGATCGGTTCGGAGGTATTGGGAAGGGTTTTCATTCTATGGAAGGTGGCTAGCTGCCCTGGTATCATACGGTACATGAGCCGGAAGGCGCTGGAAGAGGGTAAACCCTCACACCCATCTGCGCTCCCCAACATCACACATATCATACGTATCATAATATTACCATACATCACACTTCCACTCACACATTTACCATCCATGTCTCCACGCCTACCTGTGTTCCTGTGCTCCACCGTATCAATGCTCCCAACACTTTAGCACTCAACTACGGGGATTATCGTGCCATCAGGAGGGTAGTTGTCAAATATGCGTAAAAATAAGGGGCAAATCAACAGCTGCCTCCTACATTTTATAACAGAATCATTGTGCTGGGATCATTAGAGGGTTGATGACACCTGGTGTGTGTGGATGAGAGGAAAGGAACTTGATGTATTTCCTAGCTATAATACGTAGGTTGCTATCTAAAGGGAATACATGGCTGCTAAGGCTCACCCACACACAACCCTCCGTACCCTAACACATGAGGATAACCCAGTACTACATACCAACAAGGGTGCTGACACAGTACGAGCACTAATGGCTTACTTGAAAGGTACCGAAGTTTGTGGGGGGTTGTCGGGTGGGAGGCTGAATAGTAAGCCAGCTGCGTGGCTCCCAATCTTGTTGTTGCCTTCTGGTGAACGCCTTCTAAATTCCTCGGATGCGATGTTCATGTGTGTGGCACTCATGGCGAAACAGGTCGCTTCCACTCGCAGAACATCTCGCAATTTAATATCATGCCAACCTGGACACCACCGGTCAGTCGAAGCCCAGCCATGGATGTGTACGGGATAAAGAACTCCTCGTTTGAAGTATCGTAATGGAATCGTAGGATATGTTAACTATGTCACAATACCCAACCTTGGAGCACCACGGGCTGCTATATAGTGTTTTCGCCCCTTAGGAGTTCAGATGATGGAGGTGAGTGAGATATCATGAATTACGATGGTTGGCCCCTGCCGCAGAGCAGAGGTCGGTTAGGGCTGTCTAACGATGCTGCCGTGTAATATTGGGGCTAAGGTTTTGTGTGAGCCTAAAAGGCCCTAGCTTCGGGAGCTGAAGTTAGTGTTCACTTACCGTATCACACCGATTGTTGACCTGATTAAGTACCGTATAGGGTTGTCACTAGGCGGCCGCCTGCAGCATTGCCAGACTCCCGAGCTTTAACCTTGCTAAATTTACCATACATTGAAAGATGACGTGGGGAGAAAAGTCATGAAATGATTCGGGTCCGGGACTTGACAAACGTGCTCGTACAGAGATGGCCTCCGGCCAGCTCGTCGCGTGCGGAGATTATCCCAAATACTTGCACAGGAATTAAGTCAGGGTGCTGGTGCTACTCAAGTGGGGGCAACACATAACAATCCAATACCCATTGCACCGTGACTTTCCGTGCAAGTATGCAATTTAGGTATCATATCAACCAGAAAAATAAGCGATCCTATCAACAGAGCGCCACCATTCAGTAGGTAGCTACGGTATTAACTCAGACCAAAAATTCCGCAAGGGCACTTGTAGTTAGACTACGAGTGTTGACCCCCTCCCCCCCCCCCCAGGCCATCTGGGCACCCCGAAAACCCTTGAATCCAGCGGAATAGATTCGGCAGATGCTTTCCACTGGGACTTGGGTTTGCTATTGTGTTCGGCTACACTCTTAAGTTATCCGGCTCCAGCCCTCCTACTGTGGTATTCAAAGTCAATAACAGTCAATTCAAGTTTAGAGTTTCCGAAATTTCACACGTTGTATCATACTAAAAGTAAATTGACCGATAGAGTTTATCAAGCCTAAGCGGTAGTCAGCGCACCGCCGAGCAACGCCATGCTCCGAATTTGGAGTTGGTGATTGTACTGTACTCCCTGAGCTCAAAAGTCGGCGCCCTACCTTTGCACAAACCATTCTGCCACGCCTTGCTTGTAGGGAGTACACTTGCCGACCTACCTAAATTCCAGTGTCTCTACCCCGGAATCAAAGGTTGACAGACACCACAACCTCTCCTCAACATAACCCCCATCCCGATCACGATGGACATCCTTCCCTCTCCTTACCAAACCAAATAACAACAATGTTAGCACCTTGGTTTACGATACTCCCAGGGATTCCGGAGAGCCAATACCAACGTAAATTAGAAAGGAAAAAGAACACGACCCCTTGTCGAGTACATGCGAGTTGCTAAACGCAAGCACTACCATTAATCATCTGCCCCCTGCACCATGCCCAACCCCATCCGCGATCTCAAATCTGTCTATCCTCCTCCACTGGCAACCACCACTTCACTAGATCTCGAGGCTGGCGACAATTGGATAAATAGTCCGGCTGGAAGCTAGATTTTCCAGATAAATAGTTGACCTCATCTCTTTAACACCAAGGCTAGAGCGGGGATTGGAGAGAGGGAATTAGGTTAATTGGGCGAGTTATCCCAGGTGGGATATCTTCCACTCCCCCCCCCCCTCCTCTATCGGGGATCTCGGGGCAGGGTGGAAGAGGTGATGCGGCGAGACGAATTACACAAATTTCAAACCAACAAGCGCTCTTTCCTTCATATTGGCAGCCATTTTTATTCTCGAGATGTTGCCGGCTACCCTACACACCTATACGATAACACCCAACGGCATTGAAAGTCTCGATGCTGCTCGTTAAAGTTCCCCCTTTTCTTCAGGTATCAATTCTTGATATCCTTAAGAGGATGGTCTTGCCTACTAGTCTTGTAAGATAAGGTGGAATCCCAGAGAAACTCCCCGCGCCCCGAGCGTAGTACAAATCCTGAAACAAATCGCAACCCGATACGAGGCACAGCTCACTGAGATCGGGCTTTAGGACACAATTCCCCCAGAAAAATCATGAGCTTGCTGATTCAGTGGCTTGTGCAAAGTGAGAGCAACAACCTGCATGGTTAGTTTTAACAAAATATAGAACTAAGGAGGCTCAGAACCCTCCCTCCCTCTCCCCTTTTACTGGTGCTCCGTACAACACTGGGACAAAAATTCGAGTATCTCACGGGGAGAGGAGTTGCTAGCTTGAGTTAAATAGTCCGCCCTCCGGGGAATCCTCAGGTGATTGGCTATGATGCTTCATCGTCTAGGTACCGTTGCTGCAGCACCGGACGGTAAATGCCACCAACAGAGTTAATTATGAGGTTGGAGGGTCTAGGAACTAGTGTGGGTTGGCCACACTCAGTTCTAAGGTTTCTGCACACATATCCAACTTAGCAAGTCACTTTCGCCTACATTCACCGCGCCCGTGGAAAGCTCCACCCAATCAAGAGGACGCACTTTAACCTCAATAATTCACAAGACAACCATCACAGCCTTATTCTTGAAATATAAGAGGCGGAGAGCGGGCAATGAGCATAAATATTTCCACGATTATCTTGCGGATAGTCTGGGATAGATCAGCAGAGCACTTAAATAGGGCTAACAGAAAGCTATGAGTGGCCACAATTCATGTTCCCTTGCGAACCTCATCGCCGGCAGACGGGCACCGTGCGATTTTCGAGAACTAAAAATCTAAAGCCTCACAAGGCGAGAAGACCCGTGACTAAAATTACCTGATGAAGCAACCCTGTGATCCTAGAAAGATATCTATAAAAAAAAATGAGGAATGAGAACCAATAGCTAACATGCACAATACTGTGTATCACGAGGAATAAACCCCAAAGCCTCAGGACACGACTCCGACCTCGGAAACCCGAGTGTTCTCACCCCAGAGGAGTCACAAAGAAGCGCGCCTCAAAACCGCTCTAGGTGTTACCACCAATGGCATTCACGCAAAAAGTCAGAATAGTATCGGAAACAGCTTATGGAAGGACAAGATCGTGCTTGGCAAATTTAGCAGCGGCCACTAAAAGCAGACGCCGTCCACTTACCTGTACACCTAGCTTATCTAGCAAACACCACCTCGGCCTACCACGTGGTGCGATGTAATGGTTAGGTATGGCACCCTTTCTGTTATGGTAACGAACGGGCTTGTATAAACAAGGATAAAGAAACCCGGGAGGCCAGGTTTGGCAGGGGCACCACTTATTCACCCGCCCATCCACCATAATGCACCGTTAAGGGAACCCCTATTCTAGGATAGACACCCGCGCTGAATGGCTGTAAACCAAGTCGATTCCTTCCCCCACAGGGTCTGGAGTAGCTTCAGGGTACTAGTCACACAAGCTCACTCGATGGCTCTAGGGCTCTCTCACTGCAACAACTTCCCAATCCGGACACCTTCTCCTCTTCCTCAAGAAAGAATATACGCTCAGATTTCACAGGGCGGCGTTAAGCCCCGGTATCAAGTACAACATAAGAACTTTTTACCTGGGGTTAGAAGACTCCTGACGACATCCAAAAGTGTTTGTAAACGTTTCACGAAATTCGGGAAATTCGGGAGAATCGGTGGAGGAGAGGGGGGGGAGAGGAGATTAGAGTATATATAACCCGGGCCATTTCCGGGGATCCGGGAAAAGGGCAAGAACAAGTTCCGACGGTTTAAGTTATGCCTTTCCCCTCCCCTCGTTACCGTCTCCCGATGAGTCCTCCCCGTTCGGTGAGAATAGGAAACGCCAGAGAAGAACTTGGAGATGTGAGTGGAGGCGCTAGTGATTGGGGTACAGCTGTATCATTTATTTCCCCCTTTTTTATACACCGAAACTTTATTTCGCATGTAGCGTCATTTCTTCTAGGAATCTAATGTTGATACCACCCCCATCCCCTAAGATAGGCACCCAGGGTGATAAGAAACTTACCCGAGGTATTTCCTTTGAGGATACACCCCACGCGTCCGGTTCTAGATCTTATCCGGGACCAAGCCTACTCACGAGTGGTCACTCGTTCATTCTCGTCGCCTATCCCGCCCTCAGGGGAGTTTTTTTTTTTTCTTTTTGAAAAAAAAAACCCCAAAACAAATCCGACACTCGACACCTCCTCGCTACACCTCCTCGAAAGCACAAACAACTCCCACAGAGAGTCCATTACCTCCCCCGGAGACATTACAGTCCCTGCAGACCTCATCGGATTCTGTCCCAAACTTGCGCGTCATGCCCACGGAAGCTGAAATGCCATAGCTACTATCCTCGCTCTCCTCTTCTTCCTTCATTCCTCGTGTGGACTGCTACAGCTAATAAACATCCATCTAGTCATCAAAAGCCCGGATCCATACTCGCCACATAGCGCCTGAAGGACGCACCGCTCCCTTATCCAGATCAAGAAACACCCCGCGCCAGATTGGGCCCTAGCCAGGACCGCTACTATCACTCCCGGCCACTGGGAGATCAAACAGCCGTTCCTCCCCCGACTGGAGCCATCCCCCAGCCCCTGCGAAACACTGCCCACCGAGTACCGATACGCCCCCTCCCCCCCGCGCACCGCCTTAAACAGCAGGAAATCGTCAAATAGGTGGAGGCGCGAAACGGCACAAATACCAGAATAGCCAGCCGGTGGATCGAGTCTAGATTCTAGTGTTCAAACACCAGAGGGCGCCCGCTAGAGACAGGCCTAGGGGCGGACGGGTGGGTAGTACTCATAGCTTCTCACCCGCAAGCATTAGAGCAGTGGAACCACGTGTCATCTACCAGTTGGCCACTGGGATATCTTACCCTCCTAGGAGAACCGTCTACCATGCGATACTAATTCTCCCACATGCCAATATAACCAAATCAACCACTCTCCTTAGTCACAATTCGTACTCTATACTTGTTGCTTCCTACCGCTTGACCCCTGCTGTCTGTATATCATCGTTGTTTGCGCACAACACGACACAAGTTAGGGAGCGAATCAAAGTTCTGCGCCGTGATTGCTTCTGTGAGTGTGTACAGTACGTCTCCTTTCGTACTATATGTTATACCCCAATCCGAAAGCCGCAGACCATCATAAATTCTAGTGCAATACCAGATGCATATCTTTGCCCCAGATCTCTCAAGAGAAAGGATACAAAAGTTAGGCCCAGGTGTGTGCAAATATTCGTGTTTTATTTTTCCACCGTATGCCTTTGAGGCATACGATCCTGTATCAACTCCAAGGTCGATTGGATTCTTCATGTAGGTCATTGATCCCCCCTTGCGCTTCATTTCACTCAACATAATTATAAGCCAGGCTCAAACGCTATTAGAAATAACCAAGAAAAGAAGTCAAAACCCCCTAACTTATATGGTATATACTGTATGTGCATGTATCCGCCTCATCCCTCATATGTGTTGGGTATACAAAAACCTCCCGTACCCACCTACGGACCCATCCAACCACCTACAGAAGTACCGCAAAAGCAACCGTAACCACCACGGCTGCCCACATATCCCCCCTAGCCCTACCCCTAGCAGCACTCTTCTCAAACGGCAATCCCTGCCAGCTAAAGTCCACAGTCCCCATCCTTGCACTCGCATTCCTACAATCCCCATTTGCGAAATCCAACCCTCTAAGATCATCAGGTGTAGTAAAGAACATATACTGCTCCTGCTTCAATGTTTCGAATCCTTTCGTATTATATGGGAACCCATTGTCTGGGTCAGTTGCGGAGGTATTTCTTAGCAGGATGCACTGCACCTGACCAGGGAAGGCAGACACGAGCTCTGGGTAATTGCTCATGACGTCGCTATTCGTGGTATCTCCGATGAGGATAAATTTTCTGTTTGGGAATGTTTGGAAGATTTCGTTGAGGAGGGTTCTGCGAACAGAGAATGTTTGGTCCACTGTAGTAAAATTGAGGGGGCGCGTGTCAAAGGAGCCAAGAGGGTAGGTTTTGTAAATGAAGTCCATGTAGACGCGTGTGGCTTGCTCTGGGGTTGTGGTTAGGTAGTGGAAGTGGTAGGGGGAGTCAGGGTGTTGGCGGAACCATCCGGTAAAGATCTCTGGCATGTTCATCCAAGGAACGAAGTCGCGGGCGAAGGAGTTCAGGAGGCCTTCTTTTGGGACGTAGATCTTTGTGACACGGAGGATGTCGTCAATGTCTGAGAGGATGGTAATGCCGTCTCTAGGGACAAGGTAGGCAGTTGCATTTCCAGCTAAAGAGTCAGTACACTAACGCAAATCCGCAATCTAGGGACAAGGTGAATCACTCACTATCTGTCCGGTTGGTATGAACATCCAACTCAACCACCATCGCATTAGTGGCATTCCCATCCGGGAGGCCATTCTCACTATTCGTCGGGAGCTGAACAAAGCCACTAATTTCGCCTAATTCCCTACCTTATCAATTCATGAACTCCTCACCGTTAATCACTCAATGAACCCCATACCCCTCGAATCCGTCGTTTTAGCCCACTCCACAACCCCAGTCCATCCACCCTGGAAGCCCCGCCCCCCCGAGGCGTTAAGCGCAAACAACAGCCTCTCCCCTTCCTGCGGCAATGACAGTATCGCGCTGGTCAAGTTCCTGGAATTGTCCTGCTCGTGCGGTTGTAACTCGCTAATGTCGAAGTCGGGCAAGAACTTATTCGCGGCCTCATCCAGCGTATGATTGGACACCACCCCCGGCCCGGACAGCGGTTGTTTGTAGGCCATTCCGTGAAACCTTACATTCCATCCCTGCGAAGTGTAGTTTGCGTATCCACTATGTTTAAATCACCCGTTAGCCCCGATCAGGAGGCATGAGAAGAATCGGAGAGGGGGTAAACAAACGGAATGTTCAAAAATTCCAAAGGCAAAGCCCGAATCCCCGTCTCGTTCAACCCAAGCTCTTTGGTAATCTCATCCGTTCCAGGGATACTCCAAAAGTCCGGCAACACGCTCTGCTTGATGTCGTCCACATTGACCCCATCCCGGAGATTATCCAAGATGTCAGCGAGGGTTTCGCTGACAGCGCGAGGCTGCAGACCGTTACTATTCTCTGGCGGCGGAGAAGCGAGTGTTAGCAGCGCAAGACCAAAAAATAACAACAACGGGGCCATTCTGGACGTAAGAAACTGTCATCAAACGAGGGCTGGACGTAAAGAAAGGAGTAGGGAAGTTTCAATGGAACGAACCTGTAAAAATCGAGGGATAGCTGCTTTTCCTCCACAAATAACTGACGTCAGAGGTATGATATAATAACCTTATTGAGGCCCAGGACTAACATTATTCCGGGAATACCGTACAGGTACTGTGCAGTACCAGCAGCTGGTCAGCATCATATCATTGGCCCGTCCTATGGTAGAATCCCGCTTATCTACCGTATTCTCTCCCCTTCAACCTGCTCTGCGAGCACAATACTCTCTACTCGAATCCAACACAAGACAAAATCTTGTTATGCATGAACACATGACATCATGCAGTAAATCTTACTGTGATGTTCCCGGCTGGCTCCCCATCACCCCCCCGGCCCACGGCGCCGATAGCACCTTGGCTCCCGCGCAGGCTTGGCTTGCTTAGTAAGTGTGAGTGCGGCTCAACCCGAAAACCCACGCAGTGCCGTATCATAACGTGTTCGTTTACCCGCCTCCCATTCCCATGGACAACGCTCGAATTCCCCACTCAACGACAGCGCCATAGCAGTCTGCTTCAAGATGTGGTTCCGTGCCCTGGCTTAACAGTATGATACGATAATATTACACAAGCCCTTGAAACACGCGGAATATCCCTCAAGGTTTCCACGCTGGACCTAATTGCACAGAATCCATATCCATCCCCCCCGCAACAGGTTCAGACAGACTATGTAGGAAACATGGAACTAGATATACTTCACAAGCTCACTCGAAATAACCAACAGGTTAACGAAATGACCGAGAGAAAACCGCACAACCTGCGGTAGCTAACAACCACATCCGCGATAGAAAACCCACCCCCCAAAGTTATCATACGCGAAATCACCCAAAGAAAACCGGCATACACCAAGTAACTGCTTTTGAGAGGAGGAAAAAGAAAATTGCATCTTAACCAACGCTAAGAGACCAAAATTTGAAGAGATGAAATCGTGAACGAAAAGGACCAAACCCAAGATAAACTCCCTGTAAAACAATAAATAAATCCAATCATTCCACTCAAGCCATAAACAGAAACATCATTAAGCAGGAAAATAATCCATCTCTACACATAACCTAAAAAGCCCGCCCCCTACAGTGCGTTTTCCGGAAGTGGTCCGGGAGATCTATCGGAGCTTCATCGGCTGTAAGAGATGACGCAGGGACCGAGAGCTTATACCCTTGTCCCCGCTGCGCACATATGAAATCGACCCCACGAGAATTTTAATAGGGTCAAAACGAACCCCCCCCAAAACGCCACACCCACCAAGTTGTTTCGGTCAGAATGCAAGCCAGACGTCCTGTCCACACCTGTCGATTCACAATGGCGTCAGTACAGCCACGAAATCCAAATAACACAAAAGCAATGATCTCAACAAACCTGCAAACCACATGGGCACACCCCACATCCCTCGATACCATCATTCCGCACCCCTCACAGCACTTCCACCCAGCCCTACCCGATAGTCGCTGGTACCTGATTTCCTGCTTGTTCTCATCGCTATCGATTGGGCACGGGTTGGTGGGTGTGTGCGGATTACTCCTCTTGCAAAGTGTGCAAGTCCCCTGAAAGCAGGTACTGCAGACAGCCGAGTCCTCCTCCTCATTGATCTCCTCTGGCGGGATAAACACCTGTCTCCCCAGCGACTTGCAATGTGCGCAGTAGATGGGATCGCTAGTCCTCTCAGCCAATATCTCCAAGTACCTTCTCCGGAAATCGGTGTGACCAGCAGAATCCGCCATCTCGAGTTCCTTCGGTATATATCCAGCGAGAAAGTCCCCGGCGAAGGCCATTGTCAACTCCTGACCGCAACACCGCGGCGGGAGTATGCCCTCCGGATCGTTCATGGCTCGAGTGTAGGTCTTCTGGAGGCACGTTTTGCAGTAGCTGTGACTGCAAGTCGGAATGGTCTTGACGAGTGCGCTTTTGAAATACGTCATGCAAACCGAGCAGCGGGCTTTTCCGGCTGTATCGGGTGGAGAGAGTCAGCGAACCGTTAGACGCAGCAGGGTGGTGGTGGGAAATGAAACGGGAAAATGGAAACAACAGCGTGTCAAGGACGAGGATCGCGAGCAAGGGTGAGGATGGATACAACATCTTAAAGAAAGCTGACTACCTAGACGCTGCCCGCGTCGAACCAGGTTGGCCACTCCTCGCCGTATCGAAAAGCCCATAATGCCGTGTTTGCCTTATCCCGCGAACTGGATGGGGGATCTCTGTTTCGCTTTCCCTCTCGTCCTCAATAGGGGGAGGGGAGAGAAGGAGAGAGAGAGCGTAGAGTTCACAACAGCCTTACCGTAGAACCGGCGGATGGGATGCAAGAAGCCACACAAAAAAAAAAAACGGCGGAAGGGGAAGAGAACGACACGTCGTAGGATGATGGGTGGAGAAGTTCAGGCGAGAGGCGAGTACTGTACGGTAGATCCGCTGGGAAAGAGGGTCAGTTCGTTTTTTGCGCTGGCTCCCTCGCTCGGCTGCCTAATCCCTCTTCTCCTTCTTTCCTGTCTCGACCCTCGAGGGGCAAGAGGCGACGAGAGCAGCAGCGGAAGTGCAACCGCTCCGCCCATCCTCTGCCCCAGCCGCACATCAGCCTCGCTTGTTTGGCACGCGGGGTTGTGACACGAAAAATCTCCACGGACTGGAGGTGCTGGTGTGTGGTAAAAATTTTCGGTACGAGTATTCGCGGTGAAACAGCTGGCCGGTCGCGAGCACCGTGCCCTGCAGGAGGGAGATTCTCTGCCCCGTTTGACGGACGAAAGGCAACGGTTTAGCCCAATGGTGTTGGACGCTCGTCTTGAATCGAGGGGTAGTCTATCACTGATATTCACAGCTCCCCTCCTCGCCCATTCCGCTAGGGGAATCGTCGAATTGTGTTGATAGGTAGTCCCCGCAGTCACGTGATCATACCAAACACCCACTTTCTGGGGGTTCGCTCTGCGTCAAGGATCCCAACTACTGTACTTTTAAACCTTTGCACGAAGGACGGTAAGGATTGGAAGCTGCCATTCCCTAGCGGTGCTCTGCGGGTACGGCACAAGTACAGTGCGAGTATGATTATCGGTCCTTAAGGCACCAGCGTGATGAAGTTCTCCGGCCAATGCCTGGCAAGAAATTTTCCGGCGCTTTACCATAAAGAATTTGCTATGAGCGCGATCGTCGCGACCGAGATGCGTAGAGGTACAATCACCTTCCATCACTCATATCCGTGTTCTGATTTCTTTCTGAGCAGTTCTCCCCGGCGCAACACGGTGAAAACCTGTGCGATCCACTATCCCCGCCAGACATCTAATCTCCGCACCCGGAGACTGCTCGAGTAAACGCCCCCAGAAGGTGCACTGTTGGCCTCACACGGTATAATCTGAGCGAGATGAACTCGCTACGGTAGATCTCATCCAACTACCCGAGTAGTGGTGATAATTTTGTCACCCGAGTGACCCCGTCAGTTAAGCCTATGGCAGTCCTAATACCGCTTATCTGGTATCGGGCTGTGCTCTGAAGACAACAATCTCCCTCCCGTCGCGCCCTGGCTGGGCTTCCCGTGCCCAACCTTATCCTCACCTTCTCCCTCACCATACCCGCACCCGAGTACCGGTATAATACGGTAATATCATGATACTCGTGTACTTTCAAGATTTTTCAAAAGGTAATTTATGGGGGCGGGAACACCCTAACCTCGGGTACCAAGATCTCGTTTTCCCTTGCAGGCAACAAACCCCGAGGAGCATCTTACCCCAGTGAACAATACGAGCAGTCTGACCCACCTCCCCCACGTAAGGGCCCCCCTGGTCCTGGTCTAAGGCTGAGCTTAACCTTCCCCCCCCAAACCGAGATAACTGCCACGGCTGTTCTTGCCATGGCACGGTAAATTGAAAAGGTTGATAAGTTAAGCGATGTCTTTTGTTTGGTGTTATTGCCAGCTTCGCCTCTCTGCGGTGCTGCGCCCCCCTAGAGGGTAAGTAACTTACGTAAAAATCCGCACAGGCTGATCGAACGGCAGTCTACTCGTACGGTACTAAGGTCATGTTAAACCGGGAGTGAATAATGTTACCGAATGATGGAAGTATCGTACAGTACGGTGCAAGTACTTGACCGTTTATAAAGTGTTCGGACGCTTGGCACCTGGATAGGTTCTAATAATGCCAAAGTGTCCGAATACTTTATAAATGGCTGAGTGTGGTACTGAGGGGTTGAGCGGGGCTGAGCAGGGTTGAGCTGCCCCACAGGGACCGAGTGGCAGGTAATCTGGTTATGGTTCGTAGGTACCGTATGATAGGGCAGTGCTTTGCTTTGAGTTCACGGCTAGGCTGGGCGTGTCATAAAGAGTCACTCGGATCACATCATACGATCACACTGTCACGGACCGTGTACTCGTACTGGCACAGTATATCGTTTCTGCTATTCGTCTAAGCAAGTAGCGTGCGAGGGTGGCCGCCCAATTTCAGGCCGTATTGCTGTCTCGATGGGGTGTCGGTTGGAGGATTCAATAGTAACTAGTATAGAATGATAGACTGCTTCCTGAGGTTTCTTATCGATTGTGTTTTCTTTGAAAAAAAGGGTGGTTCGATCTACTGAATTTTTCTTTTCTTTGTCGGTATTCTCACGCGTTCTACCCACCTAACTGCAAGGTACTCTCCTCGACCGTGTGGTTTGAAATCTCGCTGAATTGATCTATAGAACTGGGTACGGAATTTCTGTTTGGAGGGAACACTTTGGATACCTTACGCGATTAAGAAGGTTCCGATACCGACCCGGGGAAGAAACAAAAAGGGACATCGCCTCTTCACTCTGATTCTCTTATGGGTGCTTGCAGCTACATCTCCCGGCAACACCGGTACCACTGCTGCCTGTTTGTGTGTTTGGGGAGGATGGATGGGCGTAACTCATAGTATTTATCTATGCCTAGGACCTTGACTTTCCCCCGCTCTAAGGGCACAATCATGGCATACGGGACCCTATACCCTCCCCCCAGTCGACCACGCCAATGTACCAACACAGTTCCCGGGAAAAGCGGAAAAACATCACGGCCACAAAGAATATAGAGGACAGAGCTTTATTCCCAATCTCAGCTACAAAGCAAACACCTCCAAACTCCCTTCAAGTCCCAGATCACCATCACTAGTTGATCTGAACCCCACTGATCCCAACGGTAATAATCCCCATTCTCTCCTTCCCGGTGTAATACCTATCGCTGGTCCCCTCCTCCACAGTCCCGATCAACTCTTGTAGTGCCAAAAGCTTCTCTCTCAACCCCCCATGGAAGAGGTCGAAGAGGCGATCGAATTCCATCTGGTCCTTGATCTCCTGCATCCGTGCGAGGATGCAATCGTCGCAAGGGCGCTTCTGGTGCTCGAGATTGCGCGAGTCTGGGGACATGATGCGGGCCTGGCAACCACTGATGAGGCGCTCGAGGACTTCGGGTTTTTGGACCTCCAGGCCGATACCGAGATTGCGTGCTTGGCGGGTGAGGAGGACTTGCACCTTGCAGTGCATCACCGGAAGGTCGCTGAGAAGGATGTGACCGCAGCTGAAGATCATGCAGGCGTGGTAGCACATTTCCCTTTGTGATGGTAAAGGTAGTGTGGGTGGCAAAAAAGATGAGGAAATAAGATTGGAGGATTTTTTTTCTTCTCCCGTGGATGGTGGTTGGAGGAGGCAGGTGAGGAGAGGATGGACGGGAGAGAAGGGGGTACTTTTGAGCTGAAAATAATGAAATGTAAGGACAGGCGGTAGAACGCTATGGGGCAAGGGCTTCTCCTTTGTTCCCCTGCTGATCCTTTTACATGAATGTATGTATCATAAACGTCATCGGAGGGCCTCGGGTTTATGCAATTTCAACTATAATAGAATTATTGAAAGTCTATCTATTATGCACAGCAATATCTGCCCTATCTCTCAGATTACTGTAACAATTAACTAGAGCCGAGCGCTGTATATGGGTTCCCCCAGGGAACAAAACCCAGTTTGTATCAACTTTATCATTCTCATGAACAATCACTCGATACCTCAGACCACCGATCGTAGTGCAGATCATTAGAGGTGGAATGGGGATCTACTAACAGAACCTTCCCACTAACATTAAAAATACCACTTTCTTCGCAGCTCTTAAGAGTCTGAACATCCGAATACTGGGGTGATAACACCCCAATAAAGCCAGATCTATACTCTGTGATATAAACCTCTCTATCGACTTCTGCTAATACGGGCTTCATTCCTAGTACGATACCTTAGGATTCCGTTAAGGATACCATTACCCGATATATTTTAATCGCCCTTCTGGTAATATACATACTCCTACTAAGATTTATATAAACCCTGCAGGAAAATCCAGAACCGGAATCCATGAAGTTGAATTTGACTCGTATTATCTAGAGAAAATCTGAGATAAAGCTTGATATGGTAGGTGGCGTGGTTTGACAATACCGTATAGATTGGATTCTTCTTAGCTTAGGTAGTAATCAAGTTAGCAATGGTACAAACCTCAATAGCTGCAGTATTTTTTTACTATTGTCATATTATGTTAAAAACTCTCCTGAGAGCAAATAGATGGATGGTCTATTAGTGAAAGATATCTCATACCTAATACCTAGGACCTTACAGCTTAATACACACACAATTGGTTTACCTGAGATGTGTTATTCCTTTTCTTCTTACTCTAACTCTAGTCCATATACAATTCAGTTACAAGTATTTATTCTCTAATTATAAGTGTAGAAAGATTTCCTCTTATTACTGTAGAGCTCAGGCTCTTTCCCTCTTCAAAACAATAGCTTTATAGTATCAGAAGAGCACTCAGTATGATAAATGGAGAATACTAATCAGAATCTAATTTCTTATATTATATGCAATCCGCATCCCTAATCAATTTCCACTCTTATGGCATGTTTCTACATTCTTATAGCTGTTATAGATGTTAAAAGTGTAACTATACAGCCAATACCAATGAACTAGAAGGTAATCTCTTTAAATTACTAGAATTATATTAGAAACTATTGCTACTAAGCCTTTTGTTGCTTACCTACATACAAGCATATTTTTTTAAAAATAATGAAAATTAAAGTTGTATTATAATAATACTATTATATAATTTTTATTGTTTCTTTAAGGATGCACCAATTTCAAGCATCTATATTTATCTATCATTGAAACTAAACACTTTTCCGGAAGATTTTGAACTTTATTCTATCTAGATAGTATCTATTATAAAAAATTTGAATCTTTTAAAAATCTGTATACTTGGAGATATGGAGTATAATTGTTCAAGTTAGAGCAAAGTTGGGTACTGGCATAATTGTTTTATCAAGGCCATTGAAGCCATTCACCTGCTCCCCTCTTCTCTTCCTTCTAGTTACTAGTAATTACCTCTACTATTATTCTTGATAAGAAAATAAAATCATTTATTGATCTCATACCTTTACAGTTCCAGTTTTTGGGCTATTTGGAGCAATTTCACTCTTAAATGTAGTAATTTTAGGGTCTGTTTCTTGGCTACTATTATCTTACAATATAAATCTGAAG